TATTGTCATCAATTTTTTATTCCTTTGATTCAAAACCTTGCTTCATTCCCCGTATCAGAGGTAATCACGCACTCCAAGAAAACAGAGCTAGTTGAATCAAATAGTTATTTTTTGTGTTGTTATAGCACTTTGACTTCAGATGTCGCAGAGAGTAAAAAAATTGTTCACAAGGGTTATATGTAGGTCGACGAAATTCCTTAGACTCTCCTTAGACGTCTCACATTTCTGTCTCATTTTACAGTTTACACGGATCCATGGATCGCGTGTCCAATCGACAGAGTAGAAGATCTTGAGCCCGACAAGTCCACAGTGGTGCTTGGATTCAAGTGGCAGCTTCCACGAACCAACATGAAGAACGTGACAGTGTCGCCTAGCAACTATGATGAGAATTATCCCTTCCCTGTTGGTAACCACCGGGTCACGTGGATGGGGACAAGTGACAGTGGAACACAGATAAGCTGTAGCTTCCATATCTCTGTGAATGGTGAGCTGTTATTGCAAAGTTATTTTGAGCTCGTACTTGTAAGTGCTTTGAAAAGATGGTTAACTTAGCATGGGTGACCAAATGCGGGACTCCCCGTTATTGTATAGAAAGCGACAAAGATATAGATGTTATTTGCCGGCTGGGAGGTCCGTATAGTGAAAAACTGTGACCGAGGCCGCAGGCCAAGGCAGCAGGCCGAAGGCAGCAGTTTCAAGCCCGAGGTCACAGTTTTTCACTATACGGACCGACCCTAAACCGACAAATAACATTTATTTTTTTCCTACGATAAATTGGCTTACAAGCAGGTTTGTTTCCCTAAGTTTGTCATTGAATTGGCTTACGTGTCGTGTACAAACCATCACAAAAAATTTAACGAGTGAACGAGCAAGTAACTCAGATACTAGAAAAAGAAAGATGTATTAAAGAACAAAGTTCGAACTACTTTATGTTCGTTGCATCTAGTTCACCAGTTAAGTTCTCCAAAATTGTTTTCCCGGTGTGGAATTTCGAGCAAAGTTTGAAGTAAGGTGTTGTACCTTAAAAACAACTAAATTGAGTAGCAGAAAGCGAGGGAATTCGTTAGGTGTATTCCACAGAAATTCTCTTAAATACGTAGCAACGATCAAAGAGGCAAACTCGACTGAAATTGACTTTTTTTGCTTAAAATTGTGCGGCGAGAGAAACACAGGGTTAAGCGCCATTACAGCGCCGAGCTACAAACAACGAAACAAATTCTCACAACTTCAAAATACTCCACTGAATTTACTTGCACTGACTTTCTTTACCATCTAAAAGTGAATAGAGCTAAAGTTTCGTTGATTAATCGTCGATGGAAGTGTGAAAAGGTCGAAAGATTGACGATTACCGCCGGTTAACTCAGGGAAATTGACCAACACGACAATGTCACCCGCGCGGTTTCCCGCCGTTACCGTGACCGTGGCCAGAGATAGAAAAATCCGGACCGCACTAAGAACCAATCAGATTGCAGGATTCGTTACCGTGCCCTCTTAGGAAAAGATAAAGTTTAATAAGAAACTAGAGTGCATAAAAAATGAAACATCAGAAAACATCAGTTTGCAGTACAAGGGAACAATTCTACACACAAAGAAACAAAAAAATGAACAAGCAAAAAGAAAAACAAAAAGAAGAGCCATCCATCATGCTGTCCCGATACGCGGAATGGTTGGAAGTATATCGTCGCGTTTTAAAACCACCAAAGTTTTAAACTGGTGCTATTATCGGAGGAGTTAATATATTAAGCAGGCATCTAGGTTTTTACGTTAGCTATTACAGTTAACACTTAATTGCATTTCTCTCAGCTTAACTCTTATGACTTCAAGTATAATCTACGCATCCAAAATCTGCCGTAATGTCTTTATTTCTCGGGCACCCTCCAGACCTTCCTTGGTCTCTGTTTAGAAAATGTTCCGCTTTATGATATAGGTTTGTTACGATTGTACAATTTTAAATTAATGATTAACGTTGAACAGTTATTCAATAAATTGCAGATTGTTAACCGAACTATCCCGTGACGAACTATAATGTTGGCGGTTTGTAATCTGTCTTCCCTGTTTTTACTTCGACCGTCCAATGCCGTAAGGTAAATTCACTCCAGCGTCCGCTTCATATAGGTTTTTAACAATAGAAATTACCTAAGAAAATTTATTTCCGTGCTCGCGTCCGCGTAATCAGTGGACAAGCTCGCTGAATAGGAGTACGTTATAAAATTAAGGTGAACATAAGACGAATCTCGGCACCAGGCTTTTTGTCCTCTCATGAAGGGTNAAATCCGGACCGCACTAAGAACCAATCAGATTTCAGGATTCGTTACCGTGCCCTCTTGGGAAAAAATAAAGTTTAATAAGAAACTAGAGCGCATAAAAAATGAAACATCAGAAATCATCAGTTTGCAGTACAAGGGAACAATTCAACACACAAACAAACAAACAAATGAACAAGCAAAAAGAAAAACTAAAAGAGAGCCATCCATCATGCTGTCCCGATACGCGGAATGGTTGGAAGTATATCGTCGCGTTTTAAAACCACCAAAGTTTTAAACCGGTGCTATTATTGGAGGAATTAATGTATTAAGCAGGCATTTACAGTAGGTCTTTACGTTTGCTATTACAATTAACGCTTAATTACATTTCCCTCAGCTTAACTCTTATGACTTCAAGTATAATCTACGCATCCAAAATCTGACGTAATGTCTTTATTTCTCGGGCACCCTCAAGACCTTCCTTGGTCTCTGCTTAGAAAATGTTCCGCTTTATAATATAGGTTTGTTACGATTGTACAATTTTAAATTAATGATTAACATTGAACAGTTATTCGATAAATTGCAGACTGTTAACCAAACTATCCTGTGACCAACTATAATGTTGGCGGTTTGTAATCTGTCTTCCCTGTTTTTATTTCGGCCGTCCAATGCCGTAAGGTAAACTCACTCCAGCGTCCGCTTCATATAGGTTTTTAGCAATAGAAATTACCCAGAGAAAATTGATTTCCGTGCTCGCGTCCGCGTAATCAGTAGACAAGTTCACCGAATAGAAGTACGTTATAAAATTAAGGTGAACATAAGACGAATCTCGGCACCAGGCTTTTTGTCCTCTCATGAAGGGTAATCCCTTAATTGAGATCCACTTAATAGAGGATTTACTGTATTGTCTTATTTGATTCCAGACGTGACCTCGCCCTCAGTCCAAGGTTGTCCCGCGTCATTCTCAGATAAGACCGACTCTCTTCAAAAGCAGGTCACGTGGACACCGCCGACATTCACTGACAATGTAGGCGTGGCCAGTGTGTTGTCCAATCGTCAGCCAGGATTCGAGATGCAGACTTACACGTCATTAACAATACAATATACTGCTAGTGATGCAGCAGGAAATGTCGCTTATTGTACTTTTAATATCACTCTGGAAGGTATGTCATCTTGAAATTTATATTCTACAGTCAATTAGTCCCTTCCTCCGTTATCTCGTTTGTATTTTGGTTGACACGATGAGGTGCCCGTCTCACTATAGCTACCAAACGGAAATGATAATATCCCATGTAGACGGCATAACTAGTACCAGGAAACTAGTAAAAATAATAAATACGAACAGAAGCCCAGATTTTTTGTCAAATTTATTGCCTTCTGACTAAATTTTCCTAGATTTTGTAAATATGTTAATTAATAAATTTGCTTGATATTTCTTTTCTGCGTTGGTTTGGCTTTTGAGTCCATTAAGATCTATAAATATTGAGAAAAACAAGAGTACCATCGATATCTAGACCGTGTTTCTCAAGTATAAGGCCCAAGAAATTTTCAAAATACAATTCCGTTTACGACACTAAGAAATGCAAACAATTTAATGAAAGAGACTTGCTTTGTTGCTTGATTATTTTACGTCCCGAAAAGCAAGAATCGTTATAATTTCAGTATTACCTTATAGGGTCCACTTGCATCAAGGTTCTTAATCCGAAGAATGGCCTTGCAACTCAGTTTGGTCTTCTCCTGCAGCTCAGGTGCAATGACGGGTACTTCTTTAACCCGTTTCCCCCCGGATTGCCAGATCGCTTTGAGAATCCTTCTTACAGGTGTCTTGGCAACAAGTGGGTGTCTCAGAATGATCNAATGTCGCTTATTGTACTTTTAATATCACTCTGGAAGGTATGTCATCTTGAAATTTATATTCTACAGTCAGTTAGTCCCTTCCTCCGTTATCTCGTTTGTATTTTGGTTGGCATGATGAGGTGCCCGTCTCACTATAACAACCAAACGGAAATGATAATATCCCATATAGACGGCATGACTAGTACCATGAAACTAGTAAAAATAATAAATACGAACAGATGCCCAGATTCTTTGCCGAATTTATTGCCTTCTGACTGAATTTTCCAAGATTTTGTAAATATTTGTCAATTAATGAATTTGCTTGATATTTCTTTCTTCGTTAGTTTGACTTTTGAGTTTATCAAGATCTATAAATATTGAGACAAAAAAGAGTACCATCTAGACCGTGTTTCTCAAGTGTAAGGCCCAAGAAATTTTCAAAATACAATTCCGTTTACGACACTAAGAAATGCAAGCAATTTAATGAAAGAGACTTGCTTTGTCGCTTGCTTATTTTACGTCCCAAAAAGCAAAAATCGTTGTAATTTCAGTATTATCTTACAGGGTCCACTTGCATCAAGGTTCTTAATCCAAAGAATGGCCTTGCAACTCAGATTGGTCTTTTCCTGCAGCTCAGGTGCAATGACGGGTACTTCTTTAACCCGTTTCCCCCCGGATTGCCAGATCGCTTTGAGAATCCTTCTTACAGGTGTCTCGGCAACAAGTGGGTGTCTCAGAATGATCTCAAGTCTGTCTTAACTAAGGCACCGGACTGCATGGGTAAGAATAGACTATGTGGAAAAACTTTCATCCTATTCACAAACCAGGCGGCGAGTAATACAGTATACAAATCTCTCGCGGACACTCTTTCGGTGTTAACGCGCCTGGGATCTGGGCAGGAGATGGTGCTGGAATAGGTCTTTCTACAGATGTCAAGTGCAAAATTACACCCTGACGAGATATTTTTTGCATTCTAACAATGTACCATAGTTACTATAGTTTGTGTTTACCTTTGTGATATTGAATGCGGGATCAACAGTGATGGATATTAAGACTCATGCTAAAATATAAACAAAAAATATTATAGCAAAACATAAAAAAATGTTTCTTATCGGGCTTCACAGGGGGTGCTTAAGTAGAGCCTAAAAACGTTGAATAGTTTCTTTTCACTTTTATTTTATGAAAAAGACCATGCTAAAAGGAGAGGGGGTCATGCTAGCCAGTTTAACAAATCGAATGTGGTTTAGCATTGTCTGTGCTCTTATCGACAACGATACGCGTCATCCCAGTGGTCAAAATGTTGTGGACTCACGAGGCGCAGCCGGGTGACTCCACAACACATTTTGACCACTGTGATGACGCGTATCGTTGTAGATAAGAGTACAGGCCACGCTACACCACATTTCAATTTGTTTTTTACCATAATATCAACGTCAAAAAAAATGTTTTTTTTTTTTTAGAGCGAGAGCTGAAAAAGGCATAGCGTGACAACTTGACGCGAGCAGCGTTGTCTGGACTGTTATCAACAACGGCAAATTAGCCAATCAGATTTCGAGATTAGTAGCAATTGTGGTAAAAAGAGATTTCACACATCACCACTCTTGTCAAAGGAGTTCCTTACCGTTGTTTGTAACGCTTGATGCGGGGCGCACATTAGGTGATGATTAATTTTTTTTTCTTTCTCAGTCTACGTGGTTTTCGATGGTACACCTTGCCAGGGCGGTTCCATAATGTTGGATAGTAGCATTTGCTGTAAGTATCACAGCGCATATTATATTAAAATGTACTTAACTATTACCTCTGTGTAATCGTGCTGTTATAGTCTGGCTAACAAAAATAAATACTTTCCAGGATGCCGAGCTGTAAAGCACAAAAATCAACTACAGAATCGTATTGATCATGTTGATGTACAGAACCAAATTCGCGCAGCTAACGTAACGAGAATCGAATTAAATAATGGTCAGCAAGCAGTGATACTGCAGTTCAGGTCACCTTTGAAGGCTGTTAAACAATCATTGGATGCAGTTTATCCAAAATATTAAGGGCGATATGTAAGTGCTATTAGGCAAAGCCGAAGGCTGAGGCTGATTACACTTAACAACTTAGAACTGGAACACAACTCACATTCAGTTTTGAGTGAAATCAAACATTGACACTAAATAGCTTTATATTTCTAAAATGATTTTTATCACCCGGATATGACTAACACTGGCTGATTTAGACGTCAATTTGTCTTTGCAGTTTTGTCATCGTAAAGGTAGGAGTTAACCTCACCAAGTCTACTTTATTATGAAAAATTCTTAGGTATAAAAACTCCAAAACGATCATACTTTTTTCACCTAGTATCACTGGTATAGTCACTGGATAGCCCTATATACTTTTTAAAATATCTTTTTACATCGGGAATGAGTACACTGATTTTGACGATGATTTGTGTTTTATGTGTTTTGCTGTCAGTGAACTGTCCTCCTGGAACATACAGCGACGGCAAAACTAACACATGCAAAGACTGCATCCCTGGATTTTATCAGGACGAAGAGGGAAAAACAGAATGCCAGCCCTGTCCGAAGAACTCTTCCAGCGTCATAACGGGATCCAAATCAAGTGCAGATTGCAAACGTAAGATAAAATAACGACAATGTTAGCAGTATTCATGGAAGCAAATTGTCTAGATTTTTACTGCATGCACTGAACTGCTTAACGCGAGTGAAAACGTCGCGTTTCCATTGCTGACGTCACCGGTGGGTTTGTCTGTTTCGCTGGCTCTCGACTGAAACGGTGAATTAATTTGGAAAACTTTACCAAACAAGTCACATGTCGGTAAAAGATCCAATCAAAATAGCTCATCGTTCATTGCTTCAAGGCTAGTTACTAACAAAACGGTTGCATTTTCCAATGCGAATAACATAAAGGAAAAGAATCGTGTTTTTGTTTAAAGAATGTTGTGGATTGTTTAAGTCCCCTCTCAGCCTGCCATCTCTTCCCCCGCTTTTTCTCCCCGTTTAGGTTTCAAAGAAAATTGTGCTCGTAAACCAGCACCTCATGCTTACCATCATTGGCATGTCTCGTAAAAGTATCTTAATTT